TACGAAAATTCACTGAAACAGTAACTGCAACAACACAATAATTGTGAACAAGCTGTTATTTTCTTAGATCCCCTTCTCGCTATAGCCATTTTCCAACAAAGAAGCCACATTTTAAATCGAGAACCTGAAATTTCATTCTGTCATGGATTGTAATTCCATTTATAATTGTGCTGCCTGTCAGCAAATGAGCTCTGGCATTTGAGAAAACCACCACAGCATCTTCTGTTCCCTCTGTCAGTCAAAAACTACCATCCCAAGAACAAGAGAAGGCAGCACATGCCTGCATCTCAGAGTATGGACTTCTCAATGAAGCAGCTGCATCATGGGTACACACTTTCTTACAACTTCTGATGTGAGGGCAGCAAACCCAGAGTTGAGGTAGACAAACAGAGTGAAATTTTTTCTATCTATGAAATAAGAAGCAAAACTAATCTGTCTGTGAAGCCTCCTTAAAAAAATAAACAAAAAGCTTGAAAGTGGCTAACAAGAGCCAAAAAATAGCTTTACACTAGGTTTTTACTGGACTAATGGAAGCTTATTGTAATTGAAGCAACTGGGCATAATTGTGTGATTCATCTGTCAAAGACTTTCTAATACTAAATTAGAAGTTAGGTAACATTGCTGTACAATGCCAGCACTGAAAATGACAGTTCATTCATTTTAGAGAAGATACATGCCAATACTCACACATTTGTAGTTATATAGTAATGTTGTATTTTAAAGCAAAATGCTCTGACTCATTAATTTCAGATGAGTATCATATGCACCACTGACTTGCTTCTTGTCTGGTGAAGTTTCTGTGATTCATAACCAAGAGTAGAAATTCAGAAAGCATTCTATGATTAACTCACCTAAGTAAGAATTCTACAAATCAAATGGAACAGCTACTATATTCACTCCATACACAAGTAATGAGTTTCACAATAAATTTTTTGGCTAACTGTAGCTTTTACAAGCAATTTCCCCACCACTGCAGAGACACCAAAAACTGACTTTATTAGCACACATACATGAGTGTTTTAGGTCAGATGTGAAACATTCCCTTGAAGCCAATTTCCCTGAGCACACTCCTCTGTGCAGCCACTCCAGAACAGGCAACTACGTTTCTCTTGTATCAAGGCACATAATGAACCCCAGCTAACATCCAGTGAACAGGGCCCGGCTGGAACTCCAGCAAAGGGAAGCTCCTGAAGTGCATAAATATGGCGGATGACAGCTCGTCAGGATGCCTCGTGTTGTGTCATGCTGCTTGCACACACAAACACCAATGCACATGCAACTGAGACATAAGATGAGGCAAATGAAAACTACATTTGACAAAACCTTCTAACTTTTGGCTGAACAAACTCCCTGGACCAGCTCACAGTCTGTTCAAAGGAAAGCCAGAGCCAGCTCCAACTTCCAGTGGTTTAAGCTAACAAACCTCAGGCCAGGTCACAACTAAAATATCCAACTGCTCTAGAACAAAGAAAGTTCTCTGCTTTCCCTCTGTTAAAGAGTTTTCCTACCTCCTTTCTTGTGCTAGCACTGACATTCATTCAACCCCAGTGCCACCTGATACAGAGCTATAACCAACAAAAGGCTGTGATTAATTTTCTGCCCACAACAGGGTTGGACAGGCACAAGTGTCTTAGCAAGAAGGAACACAAGGCTGAGGGAAGACAGGAGCACCTTCTTCAGTGCCAGCTCACTATTAGATTTTTGTCAGCTGCATGTGAAACCACACCCTGAGAGTGATCTGAAGACTCATAACTGTTGTGAAGTAGCTGGATTTCTTACCCCAACACACTATTATTCTATTTTTAGTACTATAGAATAGAAGTACTATTATTCGCTCTTTTATGTAAGTCTTCTACCTTAATGCTCATTTCAGGGATGTGCATAAAAAAGAAGAAATGTGGGTTAATAGAGACTGGTGTTCTGACACATGCATCTTTGATGTGGCATTTTATCCTGATAATAAAGCTGTCCTTTTGTAGATGGTACAAAACAGACATCTAGCTTTTCTTTTCCGGGACACTATAGCTTGGTATTCAACACCTGTAACTGTTTCAGTCTTCTATATGTTCATTTATCCCCACTAAACAGGCAGCTGACAGTGTCCCTCAGAGGGAGAAATGAAATTGATTAGGAACAATGAGACACACATTTGCTCCTATGAGACAGATCTCTCACATGGACGTAACTCTGCAAAAAAGGCTGCACATATATCCAGCCTTTAGACAGCAGATTTGTAAGTAAAACAAGTTATGAGTCTAAAAATGCAACTGGCAGACATTTTCATTTCCAATGGAATCAGTTCTGAACTAGTCAAAGGTTCCTACCTACCTACCAACCTGTAGTACTGAAAAGGAAAAACTACAAAGTAGTTCCTCAGGACTACTTGGTCCCCTTGAGCTTGAAGAGCGACCATTTTACGCTATGTTTTGCACACCTACAAAAGTACTTAGCAGTCATGTGACCAGTACTGCACTTGCATTCCAGGATTATGTAAGGATTGGGCAACTCAATCAAGCTCATTTCCCCACAAGCATCAGGTGCTTCAAAGGAACAGGTAAAAACACAGCACTTACATGGCCAAAAGACAATTCCACCTCCTTCACAGGGTTTCTTTATTTCTTAAGCTATCTCATCTTGAGGTTTAAGTTACATAGTCTCAGCTTTCAAAGCATCAAATGCAATTTTCTTTTGAAGAACCCCAATACAATATATTCATGCCTGTGTTAACCTGGTGTAGAGCCATACCTTAAGAAGAATGCAAAATAACTAGACAACTAAATTATTTTCAAAGTACGAGGTACTTTTCAGGTGACCAACTGTGACTGCACAAGATACTCATAATGGGTCAAACTGCTAAGGGCATTTCAACTTTCTTTGTACTATTTACAGTCTCATTCCTCAGGCAATCTAATATCTTGTTTGCCATTTTAACTGCAAGGTTCTCCTTGAGATCACTAGAGTGATAAGCCAGGTCTGCTTCTTGAGTTAATTTATTTAGGACCCATGGAATGGGTCCGAGTAGTCTCTCTTCTTCACATGCAGTCTACTTTGCAAGAAAATAGCTGACCTTCTCTGCAAAAGATAAGGATATAATCTGTGGACACTTGTTTTCAGAATTCCAGATCTTTCCAAGATCTTGCACTAAATTCCTGCAAAAAATAGTCTCTAGTACTAGCTTACTATACACTGATTCAGACAAGTTTTATGTAAAAGAAATTTCTAAATACAGCAAAGATGTAAACATTCACTTTCCTGGGATGATTTTTCTGAAACTAGCTGGCCACACACAAAAAGCAGCCATGGGTGGCCCTTAAGAAACCTTACTCATAATACTGAGCATGCAGACTCTCCTACCATTAAGTCCAGTCTAGCAAGTCATCAAATAAGAGATTACTGGTTTTACCAGGAAGAACCATTTCTTATTCAGCCCTCTTCCACTTCATTGTGTCTTAAACTCATTTCAACTAACCAAGCTGGGAGGCCCAAAACACACCAACAGCAACCCAAGTCAGTAAGTGTTCTCCTGGCACTGAATTTCAGTATCCTGCAATTTGTGTTTCTAGCAACAGCAAGTTTAATACTTTGTTAAAAGGGCTGCTTATCTCACTAGGCTGAGGATGAAACCACATAAAAGGCGGCATGGCTTTCTGAATGCAGCTTTACCCACAGCAGCTTAAAAGACTACATAAACTTTAAAGCACTGAACAATGACAGAGGGAACTGCAAGAGCAGCAAATCATTACAAATAGCTGTTCATAAGAATGGTTCATTGGGAATACATTCCTCAAATAATCACATACACACAACACCAAAGCAGACTTTCCCTTTCCTATGCAGGTAGCTCTGCAATACTGCTACACGTCTTAACATAACCTGGCCAAGGAAGTGCTAAAACTGTGCACATACGTACTGCAAGTATGGGCCCGCATCTGTCTTAACACCACATTTTTTGTTATTAGAAACATTTGGCTGACTACAGGTAAGTTAATACCTGCCGGCAAGTGATGTCCAAAAAAGACTGCATGGCTTAAGGTGAAGTGGACCAGTGTCAGTAGCTCCCAGTGACACAAAACCAGATTTCCCTCTGTGCTGCTCTTCATCAGCAGATCATGGGGACAATCTCGCCCATCCTCAGTTTTACACTCTACAGTTCTGACGCTGTGGATGGCTTCTGTCAGCATGGAATATTTTCCTACCAGTTGCTGGACGCTGGCAGTAGAGACATCACCAGCCCCTTCCCAGCCCTGCAGTTGGAGGCACATAAGGGGAGGGGGGCCTGGCACAGGGTGCACTACTCGCTGCGTCCCCTGCCCTTCCCTTGCAGCCGGAGGGGCTCAGGTGGCCTGTCAGACAACAGCTCCGTCCTTCTGTGTCCAGTCCTGGGCTCCTCTGTACAAGAATGACAAGGAGCTAACAGAGAGAGTCCAGCGGAGGGACACAAAGGTGATCAGGGTCTGGAGCTCTCTGGTCAGGACAGACTGATGGAGCTGGGCCTGTCTAGTCTAGACAAGACTGAGAGAGGATCTCATTAATGCACATAAATATCTCAAAGGGGATGGTGCCAGGCTCTTTCCAGTGGTGCCCAGTGACAGGATGAGTAGCAATGGCCATAAACTAAATCACAGTAAGTTTCACCTCAGCACGAGGCAGAGCCTCCTCACACCGAGGGCGGCAGAGCACTGCACAGGCTGCCCAGGGAGGCAGCGGAGAGACTCTCTGGACACACTCAAACCCCACCTGGACGCGTTCCTGTGTCAGCTGCTCGAGGTGACCCTGCCTCGGCAGGGGGTCGGACTGGATGATCTCCACAGGTCCCTTCCAACCCCAAAGATTCTGTGATCCCCGAGTCCCCGCGGGCAGGACGACCCCCGCCCAAGGGCTGCGGGGTGGGACGCGGGCCGGACGGAGGGGAAGGGCAGGGCCGGGCCGGGGCCATCTCGGCACGATGGGGCGGTGCCCAGGCCCGCCGACCCCCGGGGTCCCCGCGGCGGCGGCCGTACCTGCATGACCACGTCGTTGGGCAGCTGCGCGGCGCGGAAGAGCTCCAGGACGCGCCCGTTGGACGCCACCTTCTTGGTACTCTCGGTGTCGCAGTAGGAGAAGAGGTCGCAGTAGTAGCGCTGCTCCGCCTCGCTCAGCGTCATCCCCTCCATCTTTTAGCGCCGCGGATCATCCGCATCCGGCGGCTCCGCGGTCCGGCCGTGCGGCGCAGCGCCCCCTGTGGGAGTGGCGGCGCGGGGCAGGCCCCCGGTGCGGGGGCGTGTCGCTCTCCGGCTCGGCCGGGACTGCCCTGGCCCCCCGGGAAGCTGCCCAGTAAATCTGGGGATGCTCAGCTGCGCGGCCGTCCCGGCTTACTGAGTCGTGTGAGAGGCTGAGGCAGTGCCGAGCGGCTTCCCGAGCCTGCCTTCACAGAATCACAGACACAATTAGGTTGGAAAAAAAGACTCGAAATCATCGAGTGCAACCTATGACTGAACACCACCACGGTCAACTAGACCGTGGCACTCTGTGCCACGTCCAGGCTTTCCTTACATACCTCCAGGTCCTTTCCTTACATACCACCACCTCCACAGGCAGCCCATTCCAACGTCTTGTTACCCCTTCTGTAAAGAAATTCCTCCACCTGTCGCTGGTACAGCTTGAAACAATGTCCTCTTGTCCTGTCGCTGGTTGCCTGGGAGAAGAGACGACCCACAGCTGCCTACACCCTTCTTTCAGGGAGTTGAAGAGAGTGATAAGGTCTCCCCTGAGCCTTCTCCAGGCTAAATACCCGCAGCTCCCTCAGGTGTTCCTCGTGCCCATCTCTGGACTTGCTCCAGCACCTCAATGTCTGTCCTGAATTGAAGGAGCCAGAACCTGGACACAGGACTCGAAGTATAGCATCGCCAGTGCTGAGTACAGGAGAATAATCACTTCTGTGGGGCTTGGGGCGCTGGCATCATCCCCAGTGCAGGTTCTACTGATAACTGGTGAAGGGCAGCCTATTATGCCATACAGGCCCAGTTATAAGTGCTTGCCCTCCTCTGTATGCTTCCTCTTTCCACCATCACGACAGTATTCCTCAACACCACATAGCACACAATAAGTGGCCTGGATAATAGCTCCATACATCAGCCTTGCAAGGAAGAATAAGCAAGAGCTCACCTATCTCCGCATCAAGAGATAGGTGTGCTCCGTGTGTCTCTCTTGGTGTTTTCCGAGCTTCTGTGTATTTCCTTGGGTAGAATTGATTTGTGTTGGAAGGAACATAAAAGATCATGTAGTTCTACCCTTCCTGCTATGAACAGAGACATTTTCCACTAAACCAGGTTGCTCAAAGCCCCATCCAACCTGGCCGTGACCATTTCCATGGATGGGACATCTGCAGCATTTCTGGGCGATCTTTTCCAGTGCCTCACCACCCCTGCAGTAAAGAATTTCTTGCTTACATCTTGTCTAAACCTACTCTCTATCAGCTTGAAGCCATTCCCCCTGTTGCTGTCACTGTATGCCCTTGTAAATAGTCACTCTCCATCTTTCTCATAGGCTCCCTTCCAGATACTGGAAGGATGAAATTAGGTCCCCCTGGTAGATCTATGCTTTTTCTGCAGTGCACTCACAAAATTGCCTCCAAGCTACTTCAGCTTCTGGAGGGGCATGTAACAAATGCCGTAGTCTCCTGCCTGACCTTTTGACTACCTGGTCTGATTTAAATCCTGCTGAGTTGGCAATTCACTACTTCATATATTTCTGTCATTCTTAATTAATGTTTCTTTTCTTTTTCCACTTCACCTTCCTTCACAACTCTTGCCATATTTCTCTTTCTAGATGGCTGTTGCTGACTGCTCTATTTTTCTTAAGCACCTCATCCTTTCTGCCTCTTAAGATAGTTACATTTTGAACTTAAAGTAGACATTCATTTTTCTTGCTATTTGAAATACACAGATAACTAAAGTTTTCTGCTAACTAAAGTTTCTGAAAATCACGGATATGTTAGCTTATAGTTACAAAAGGTTCTCCCCAGAAATGTACCATTATCAAACTTTTGGATTTTGTCAACTCCAATGACATTAATAATGAAACCAAACAGATTGATCATGTTCTCAGTTAAAATTCCTCAAAATAGCCTATATTAAAGAAACAACTTTTTTAAAAAAATATTATATCTAATTATTATCATTATATAGACTTAAGGCCAATTTAGCATGATTGGTCACTTACTTGGAGCTATTGTTCCATCAGTATCTCTGCAAGTAAAATGATTGCGACCACCTTCCACAGTTAAATTGCATATTGTGATTCTATTAGCTACACAGAGGCATGCGTAGAAGAGGTTTTTAAATCACTTATCAGTAAGTGGGTTCCAAGTGCCTTTGCTTCTTACAGTGATTGTGTGCTAGTTCAGGCATTGGAGTTTGAAACATTAATATATGCATATATCTTTACCTATAAGTTAGTGTAAGGACCCCAAAATACTTTTATTGTCAAAATAATTTTGAGATTTATTTGTAACAGTAATCTGGACATCTTATTGAGTGAGTAATCTGGACATTTTATTGTTTTAATTGAATTACTATTTTATTATTTGCATCTTTGCAGCAAGAACTCTCTTTATACATTAAAGGGGATCACTTGGCTGCAGCAGTTTGTACAAGACACAAAGACTAATACAAGGAGGAAGTTCCCCAGCATGGACTAATCCCACATATCCAAGTGTCAAACAGTTCTGAAGTGTGTTCAATAACTGTACATTTCACTAAATGCATTACATGTTGTGAAAATGTCATGTCATTGCTTACTGGAGAGATTAATGCTTTTCCCTGTGGTACAGCATCTCTCTGAAGGTAGATAGTTTGGGAATCAGGTTGTTGGGTCTCATTTCCAACTCCTGTACCATAAACCTACCTACTTGCTTTGTGCCAATTCAAAGACTGAGCAGAAATAATAAAAATTACATGATGTGTAGCAAATTAATTTCTACTTCCAAAGATCTACATGTGGACAAAGCATTTTTGCCTCAGACAGTCCCACTACAAATTTTCTGTGTTTGACTGTGGGATCATCCTTCCCTCTCCTGATCAGCCCCTGAAAATCTCCAGCCCAAGGAGGGATTTTCTGTTCAGAAAATTTACTGGTGCCCTTCGTGCCAGACTTAGCATCTGTTGAGATAAATAAGTAAATCTTTTGAGTGACTTCTCAAAGGCAATTCATTTTGTTTGTCTGGAGAATATGCTGTTTGCTACAGGATGGACTGAGGAAAATAGTATTCAGAGTTCTGACTAGCAAAGAGTTAAACCATTCTCCCTATGGTGCCTAATTTTACTGTATTTTATTGTCTGTGAAGAAACTGCTAGATTACATATATTGATATCAAAGGATTCATCCTTTAAGAGATCAGAATTAGAGAAAATCATCATTGTCACAGGAAGGCCAAGTCCAGTCACCCAAGGGGATTGAAGTGCAAAGTTGTTTTGCTGCCCATAACTCTTAGAATCAGACCTAAATTATACATCAATAATACATTATTCTTAGAAAAGACATACTTCTAAAATTTGGTAGGTGACCAGAAGTATGTATGTTCATTAGTACTAAAAACTAAAAGGAAATTTATTTGTTTAAGGGCAGTACCACTTAAAACTGGTTTCAGTGTCTTTTATCAGCTGTGAACTTACTATTGGTTTCTGAAAACTAGCTGTTACACATGTTGAGACTAATTTCTAAAAATAAATGCAACTCATAAACAGATGCAGGGCCTGGCACACATCAGGTGATAGGGGTGTGCCATGTCTACAGTCTGCCTGCTTTTGATGTTCTTATTACAGTTAGTGGGTCTCACGTAACACCAGATTTGCACTGAAGTAAGATACATGCTCAGATTTTTTTTTTATTAAAATGCCTTCAAATAACTATCAGCCTTATAAAGTATGTATTCAGGTCCAGTTTCCATTTTGTATCTGGTTCTCCAAGTTTAGAAAAATTGCCCTGAGGTTATTTGTCATTGCCTTTCTAAATTCTTCCGCATACATAATGCTGTGGAGCAGGTTTTACAATCTCTGTCAATATAGTCCTTTTACTTGCAGCTCATCAGGAGTTCTGGGAACTTGTTCTATCCTGATTCTTTAGTGTAAAGACAAGTAGATTAGGTCTAGAAATGAATGGGAGATGTTTAAAAATATTTGCTGTTTCAGACTTTAGAACTGGTTTGTTGTTACTGCCTGATTTTTTTCAAGAAAAGAAGATACCTTTGGACATAAGGTACTTTATTCCAGACAGAAGAAGACTTTGAGAACAGTATTAACAATTACAAATGAAAGAAGTTCCTTTTCTGCTTTTCTAAAAGCATATGTATTTCCTTTTTATAGAAGCAACATTTTAGTAGGAATATAGACATTTTACAGACATTGTACCCATACTTTAGTAAATTTCTGCACGTATGTTGTGTTACACTTTCCAACTGTATGTTTTTGCAATTTTGAAAAATATCAGTTTTGTCGTGTGCTGTTTTTACCTTCTATGAAATGGCATCCATATTTGAAATAACCTACCAGTTCTAGTAGTCCTGTTGGGATTGTTTCTCCATCAAAAGGGCAACCTATATTTAAGGCTATGAGAATTCATCCACAGTGAATGTAAAAATCCTTTCCACACAGAGCCAGGTAGCAGACAGTAACAACAATGGGGGTTTTGTTCTTTTCCTTCTATACAAGGAGAGCACCTTTGCAAGGAGCATTCATCATGTGAACACTGGATCTAAAGCAATGTGGTTACTCACCAAAGTGAGTGTGCAGGCACATCCTAGAAGGGAAAATAACTTCTTTCTCAGCAGCCTCCCTAGAGTGTTGTGTCAGCACTGAAATATGCATGGGATCCTGGCTGAACACATCTACTGTCTCTAAACCTCCTCAGTGCAGAATGAATAGTGTCCTTTCCATATCATTCACTATTGCACCAGTTTTCCCCAGTCTCTCCCTTAAACATTTAACTTGTATGTGTCTATCAGGGTCCCTGTAAAAATTGGCTGTGTTTAAAAAATCAAATTCTTTTCTCTTTCACCCAAATACTTCATGTGATTGAAAAGAGAAAGCAGTCAAAAGAAAGCCTTTAAAGGAAAGGGTTGCAGTTACAGCAGTCAAATGAAAGATACTGGAAAAGAGCAACTTTTACTCCTTACGATTTTGGCAGATTTCTACATGCGATTTCCCCTCTGCATGTCA